CCTTAGTCGATGACAAATAATGAATATCGCTTTATTGATCAATTTAATTCTTATATTCTCTAAAGAATGTTACCAGGAAAGTCATGAATTTCTGTGTTGCTAGAGTCACAATCTACTGAGATTTTGGGAATGGGGGAGAAGGTAAGGAAGAGGGAGGGGGAAAGCGAGCAACGGCTGACAAAGTGTAATGAGGAGGCTATAAGTTCCTGATTCTCGCGATTTTATTTTCTTATATTTTTTTCAAAAAATAGAAAGCTGCTTATCCTAAGTCAGTTTTTAAATGTGTTGATTTGTGGTTTCTTTTTGGAGGAAAAATTTTGTTGTCATCTTTCATCAGACCGCTTCAGCTTTCCTCATTTGTCAATGTTTTTTTCAAACTTCTTTTCGTCTTAATCAGGCCTAGAATGATATAAAACCTTGTGTATAACAGTTTACTGTTGCTAAAATTTTCACCAAAAGAAGAGGACAGGACAGTTTTGGTTGTTCTAAGTAAAGCATTGCCAAAGTTTATTAGAGGTTTCGAGGGCGTTCGAAACCCCTATAAGCATCCTACGAAGTCTTCATCGCTGTCTTGAAGTCATCAAGATTTCTGTCACTTTGGGGATCGTTGTTCTAGAAAATTTAATAATTTATTCAGAAAATACAAGAGTGTGAAATATTGATTTGTCTAGTGAACACGAAAATTTTTTTAAATGTATAAATCAATTGTTAATAGTCTAGATTTTTTTACCAGTTGTATTCCATAATCGTATACGTTGTGATTTTGTTTTAAATTTTGAGAAGCGTAGTGTTTAATTTGGTAATTACCAATTTCACAAAATATTTATTTGGTGGGCTTTGATAATTTCAGAAAATATTTGTCGAAAAAACAGCAACTTGTTGATAAAGCTGATCTTTTAGCTAGTGAAACTTTTCACTTCTTTTTCATGTAGTGTTAGAATCTGATTTTTTGTTTTGATGGATGAATGTATGATTGTTATAATTATTTGTCACATTCAAGCAACGCTTGAAACTGATTATTTGAATCTGATATTCTTTTCTCTTACAAACTATTTTGCTTTGCTTCTTCTTCTATTAATTGTTTACCGTCTGTTATTTCTGTCCAAAATTTCCAATTCTTTACTGCTATTTTTGCATTTCAGATAGGCTCCGCTGTTGGTTTTGTAACTGTTGCCAGAAAAAGTGTATAAAATTAAATATATGAGAATTACTCAAGTGGGTAACAAATTACAGTTATGGTTTTACCTTATTGCTATCAACTTACTATTGATTATTGGGAAGGTTTATGGTTTTTTTTTTGAACCGATGACCTAGCTTTTTAGATGCATAAATTATACATGTCAAAAATTTCGTTATGACGATGCTTGTTTTTAGAGCAAATTAACGGATATACTTTTGGTTTTTTTCAAATATTGGAATTGTTTTTCGTTTTTTTTTTTGTTTTTAGTTCTCTAGTGGTTATCATAAAGGAGATTTGTAGCCAAATATCTTTGATTTTTTAATTTAAGCTTGTAGCTGCACTTTGGGTAGCATATTGAAAAATTTGCTGTAAATTTTATGACTCAGATTCTGTTGGGAGAACATGTTGTTGAGACTTTTTTTTTTTCCTTGCAGTTTGGTTATAATCGACGTCTGGAGGCAGTCTGCGGAAATGTATTGAACAAATTTGAAGAATCCATTGTTTTTAATTTAACTTCACTGTTGAATACATTCTTTTCGTTACTTTACCTCTTCTGCTCATCTAGCACGTCTTATTTGACTTTTTTTTTCTTTAGGATTCTGGTTTTGTGCCGAATTTTTGTTTTTCGGAAGTTCTAAAGCATTATTATATTTCTGGGTGTTTTTTGGTTTTGTCTTGAATTCCTTATTGCAAAAAAGTTACATTGTAAAGCAATGGTATTTACCATTTAACGGCTTCATTGATTTAAAAGTCATAAGAAAGCATTTAAGCGTCTGAAATTTGACCA